CGATCGTGATGAAACTTGACATGTATAAGTAATTTTTTATAGAGGAGGTTTTTAGGCTATCGATTTTTCTGTAACTTGCCACTAGATGCCACTAGATAACGCTGCGCACGCCTATGTTCGTTGATTCTGATTCTGTCAAAACATTGGAACAGCAGCGATACAGAAACATAGTACTAGTAACATATATTGGGGAATTGAGTATAATGTTAGTTCTTGCTCTGAGAGGTCCAAGAATGGATTGAGATCGTGAAGCTGGCCGTGGTACATTGAAGTTAATTTGTTCAAGAATTTTAGGACAGTCAATTCTCTCATTCACTAACTTGAATAAAAATATGAGCGACGCACATTTTCGGTGATGCTCTAAACTAAAAAGTTCCAAAGGTTCATATATGACATCATTATTGATACCTCTCTCAGGGCACGAACCATCTATTCTGAAAATTAGAAATTTACAAAACTTTCTTTGAACTCTTTCAATGGCTATGTTATGAATCTCATAGAATGGACTCCAGACGATACTTGCATATTCTATCTTCGAACGTACGTAGGTGAAATACAACAGCTTCATGGCTTTAATATTATGAAAGTTTCTGCAATTTCTAACAATGAAACCATAAGCTCTGAGAGATTCTGAAACGTTTTGTAAAATATGTCTACCAAATGTTAATTTATAATCGAATATTACCCCTAAGTCTTTGATCTCATTACATCTCAGCAGATCTGAATATACGGGAATGTATAAACCTCTTTTTTTCGACTATAACCCACTACTTTACATTTCTCCACATTGAGTTTCAATTTATTATTGCTACACCAAGCAACAAGAAATTCTAACTGAGATTGAAGATTTACACAATCAGCTGCTTCCTTAATTATAGAAAATAATTTCAAGTTATCCGCGAAGCATAACCGCTCACAAGCTAAACTTTTACATAAGTCATTAATAAACAATAAAAACAAAAGAGGACCTAGGTTGGAGCCCTGAAGCACACCAGAAGAAGCTATATATGTTCTAGATTTATAACCGTTATAGGATACGAATTGTTTTCTACATGTTAGATAGGATTGCATCAGCTGACAGGCAGTATTCGAAAAACCAAAACTCATCATAAAAAAGCAAATGCGCCACTGAAATCAATGAAGTCGCCCCGGAGCGCCAATTAATTTTTGTTGTTTCATATTTTAACGATTTGTATTTATTTCTTCTTTGCTATTACAATATAATGTCTAATATATGTAAAAGTAAAAACTATTTCATTTTTTTTAATACAAACCTATTTTGCAAAATACAGTTTCACGAACTTTTTAAATGCTACAATAATGTTTTACTAGTGATGTTTCAATATAATTTCCGGTTCGTAATTGTTATCATCTGTAGGTACTTTCGAAAGTTATTTCTAACTGTGTACTCAAAAGAAGGTACAAACATAAAAGATAGATAGGTTACTTTTTGCTAGGTCTGAAATATGAATTCAATTAAATAATAAAGTTCTGGTTTATAGAAAACATCATTCGATTAATATCTTGAGGACCCTTTTTTTATGTTCTTCACATCGTATAATTGATCACTGATATAGGCAACTTCTTCTCTTTTCAACCTACGCTCGTATTACATACAATTGAAAAAATAATTTCAATCTTTCAGTTCCAAATCATAATTTAACAATTACGTCAAAAGGCCTACATATTATGTCAAATAATTTATAAGATGAACTAACTCTATCTTTCAAAAATATCCAATCCCATCTCATATGTATAATCTATATTGTGATATTTTTACCTTTTTCTTTTCATTTTTGAACATTTCCATACTTTTTTAAGTTCCTCAAAATAAAGAATCGTTAAAATAAAATTATCATTATAATAAATTTGTAAAATATAGTAGATAGATAACGTTGTCCTCATTTTTTCTTTTGCAATCCCTATTTTCATAATGAAAATATATGATCGTAATTTTGTGAGTTCTACAGAAAATAAAAAAACTGTCACTGAATTTGATGTAGGTACTTATAGAAAGTACAAAGAAATGTTGAGAATTTTCATGTAATCCTTTGATAACAGCGCCATGTAGTTAATTTTGCCAGTCGAACGTTGGTTTTTGTACCAACAAAGAATTTATGATGAAGGTAATATCTTTCAGATTGTTATGGGGTATTTATTTTAATAACAGAATAAGAAAATTTTGTAGTTGTTCTCCAGCTAATTTGTTCAATATCGAAAAAAGTTAGATATAATAGGTGTACCTTCATTTTTAATTATACAATAACGACGTAGGTACTTTTCGGCCATTTTGTCATTTGTCAATAATACTTAAATTTTTTTTGGTGTGATTCCTACACTGACTGTAATAATGTAGTGTTATCACAAAATATATGAAATATTTATAAACCTGAAGATGGCAAAATGCCTGAAACATAGATCTGTATTGTATGAATAGGTACATGTTTTATCTAATTTCATTTCGAAATTCAAATGGACAGGAAAACATATATTTATAGAACAAGAAAAAAAACATTGAAATTTCTCCAAGGATTCATCAATTTCATCTATTATGGATCCATTACTCAGTAGCCAAAATTTAAACGGAATTCTTTGAATATAAATAAAAGCGTCACCAAACATACGTTACATTCATGATTATTATTTTTCAGATAACCTGTAGTAGATGCGCTATCGTTATTTTTAACACCTCGACACGTGTTTCGATCACCAAGTGATCATTTTCCAGAGGAGGATTAAACTCTTAATCGATTTAAGGTGATCGAAACACGTGTCGAGGTGTTAAAAATAACAATTTGGTGTTGGGAAAGAACTCCAGTTATATTCATGTGCTAATATATTCAGAATTGTAAAAGAAATCTGTTTAAATAGTTATCTAACGCAATTTCAATAATAAAGCACTCTACAAGAAAAAATGACAGCTAATGAAGGACACCTGCAAATGTTATTTTAAAAATATGTAAAAATCTACTGAATCTAAAAATAGAACCATGATACATTAAATCTACCTATACCCCCAACTATAAGTGAAGGAAGGCATATAATTACTTGATTTGTTTTGGCATATTATTTTCGAAAGCCGTTCACTTTGATGTTAAAAAATGTTATGTATTGTTTAGAAATTTGTTCATTCTCAGACTTGTCTTGAATAAAAAACGTCCACAGTTAACGAAAAAGGTGGACTTTTTTATTTAACTCTCTGCATATGAAAGTGAGTCAAAATTTCACTATTGAAAAGATGTGGAATTGATCAAAACAGATAAATTTTATCAACAATCCATTTTAACTATATTCAAATTTTCCATTTTTTTCTTAGACAAAAACAAAAAAGTATAGTTCTAAAAAATAGGGTGATGAAAAGATCACATTGTATGCAAACCTTCCCACTCATATACGCATTTGGAACATCAATGAATTATGTTCACGTGTTCAAATTATTTTTTTCAACCCGTAGGTATTACAAGTGTTCATCATTTAAAAAAATAATAAAATATTATTTGCAATACCAAAAAATGTAGGTATACAACTTCATTCATTCACCATTCAACCACTTTCAAAAAAACTTCATTTATAATTTCATTAACTCCTTGCCATCTTTTTAGAACTTTTCACACAAACATACATTCAAGAAAATCTTAACTCATAAATCGAAAAGATGCCTACCCATTGTAGATTTCAGATTGTCTGCTTATAAATTGGTCTATTATCTAACATCGTCCCTATGGAAGTGAATAGTTAATAAATATAGTAAAATAAATTAAATGATCCCTAACAAAACACCCTCAGAATCTACATAACCAAACTAAACTTTACAACACCTCCAAATTAATATTTTATTCTCTACAGTAATACTTTAGAGGGTCCTTAAAAAACTAAATTACTCAGACTCTTTCAATAAATTAATGGATTTAGGTAGGAGATCATCATGAAAAATGAAAAATGAAACTTTCTATTTTTTTTAGCACTTTTATTTGTAACTAACGTTACTGCAGCTTCATCCTAAAAGTACATTTTTCAAACGAATACAATATTGTTTTCATTTGGAAATAAGGACATTTTGAATCGAATACAATGTTTCCTCCAAAAATATCTACCTTTAGATACTTTCGAATTCTTGAAAAATGTGGACAGTGTTCGGTGTACCTATATCTCAACACTATCTTTTTTAAATAACTAGGTACGGAAAAAGTCTAACAAAATTCAAAACGAAGCCAATAACATTTCAACTTGAAATATTATTTTGTTGTATTCAAAATTTGCATCTAAAAGCTTTTTCAACTGTTTTTTATTATCCATATCTGGGTATATCGAAATTGCAGGTTATGAATATGTAACAACTTATGAAATATATTTTCTCGATAATTTATTTTTCAATACTTGTCTCACCATGTATGAAACTATTTCTTATAGTTCATTAGCTCCTACCATCGTTAGAACTTTTTACATCACGTAGTTACTAAAGCATATTCTGAACGATTTTGAAATATAATATGTGTTCTAGAAATCCTATTAAAATAAACAACTCAATTTCAATTAATTACATTATTCATAAAAATACCTTGTAAAATATTTCATATCTCACACATGAAAAAATTTCTCTGAAAACCATTATACGTAGGCAGTTTCCTAAGTTTTTAGGATTCATATGCCATATAGAAAAAACAATCCCATTATTCTTTAAAAAAACCTTGGGATTATCGTTATTTGATAATATAAAATTAATATTTATTTGAAAATATAAAGATGTTTTTCGTTACGGTAGAAAAAATATTTTTAATTCTGTTACAGGCGATAATATATTATTAGTTATAATATTAGGTTATTCTAATTTGCCTTTATTAATGTAATGTATTTTGTTAATAATCAGCTGACTCCCAAAATAGTGAATATCTTTCAATCACTATTAATAATTTAAAGTTTTATTTTCAGCAAATACACATCTTTACAATAGACATACTTATTATCGCAATTGTTGATCAAAAACTGTATGAAAATAGTTAATGATAAGTTGGATTTGTATATGATGAAATTTGGCTTCTATTGGTACCATTAACCAAAATGATAATATGGAAATACAGTTTATCCCATCTCATCTAATCCTTACGTTTTATATAAATTACTGATTAGACTTTTTTCTAATTTTTTAGTTTGTTATATATTATCGTATTACAGTAAATATCACTTATTTCACAATAATTTTCAGGGAGAGTCTGACTTCTGGAGAAGAAAAATTCGTACATTCCATGGGATTTTAGATCTCAACAAGGACGGAGTTATATCATTTGATGATTTCAAGATTCTTGGAGAAAGGTTCATAAATCTAGGACATCTACATTCTGAACAAATAAAGAAATTTCAGGATCTTCTCCAGGTGAAATTCTTTATGTACATAGTGTAGGAAAACTGTGAAAATGATTTGTTATTTAAAAATCAATATATATATTCTATATTAATGATGCACCGTCATTAATGATCAGCGATGCATTGTGATATAAGGTCAACAAAATTCAAATATGAAATGATATTGTTGACATTAAAATTATACCAAGTAATAATTACTACATTTAAAAGTCACTCTAATTTCTCAATTTACTATGGTGGAGAGTAATGATAATGATTTTGTATTCAAATTTATTCAATTTGAAATGAATTAATTATTATATATGCTAAAGAAAATTTACCTTTGAAATGAATTAATTATTATATAGGTATGCTAAATGAAATTTACCTTTCATAAATATTATATACATGTGAACTTTTATTGGAAACCAATAAATTTTTGAAAATCATTTAATCCTTTAATTGAAATTCTTTCAAAAAATCCAGTCAACTATCTAATTGTTCTCTCAGAAATTCGTCACCAATTAACGATTTGGTACCCATAGGTACTTTCTGTATTCTAGTAATTCAAAACATAAAATAATATCAGATATAGTTTGGATTTGAAAAAATTGTATTTGAGATTAATGATATAATTAGCTGAATGGTAATAGAATTTAAAAGTTAAATGAGATTCCACAGTTTACAGTAAGAATATATCTATGAAAAGAAAACGTATTGTTGGTGGTCTTTTGTCTTGAATCTGTATGGTGAGAGTTTTAGCTAATAAAGTTATCATTTTCCAGGATCTTTGGGAAAAGCAGTTTGGAGAAATCACACCCTACAATCTAGTCACTGTAGAAAGATATTTAGAAAATATGCATCACGTTTTAAATGACAAGCGATTAGTGAGGCGAGCTCATACCTTTTTGCCATATATATTCAAGGTACATCTACATATTGATCAATAATTGATAATGTTTAGTGTAAGTTATACACTGCCTATTCTTATTGGAACTTAATATGAACTCCATTAAATAATCTGAACCTCTGGCATAATGAACATAATGAACTGAAGCAATGTCTTCCTACATGTGTTTCTCAAATCAGGTTAAACAGACAAGTTGAATAGATGATTAAAACTAAATCTTACAACTAACGAATCACTATCTTCGGTAATAAGGACCCTCCTTTATAATAAAACAGTTTGCTTTGTTCTCCTTAAAAAAAGAATATTGTTATTTCCCAGACTACTACTGGCATTCGGTTTCGGAGGAAAGGGTCGTGGGTCCAAAGAGAAGTTGACTAATGTTCATAGAAAAATTTTGGAGATAGTTATGATCTAAATCTGTTGAAAAAAACTGTTCAAAATTGGTTTTTGCGTTAAACAGTTGTCGTCTCCCTACGAACTACAACTCTCAGGAGTAGAAACTTGTGCGAGCTGAGGATTAACGAGATCTTACCCTTCCATGTACGATTTGTAGCACAGGAAGGATGACATTGCCCGATGAATACAAGCATCATCATTCTGCATGGGATATAGTTCTTCAGATAAATATCTCATTACACTGATATGAAATAGATTGCAGAAGAAAGAAGAATTCAAAATAGAGGTTGTCAAAAATGTGTTGGAAGTGCCCTGACAGCAAGAACACATCCACTTGTGTGTTGAATAGAACAGGAAAAGGTTCAGTATCAGGAAAAACGCCTCATTTACCATCATTTGACCATCATCAGACATTTGATATTGAAAACGTGAAAATATTTGTAAATCCTGTATATGTCCATGTTCATTGTTGATTAATTTTTTTGTTTTAGTCTCTTTCAGTGAAAAGGTATTCTCTACCAAATCGTGAAGGAAAGTGATTAAAAACGGAGCAAGGAAGTCAACATCGGAATTTAACTTATGACCTTGTCAGTTTATTTGTTATAGTTTTTCTTTGAGAACTTTTACTCCAGCATCTGATATATTTCTATGTCTTTGGATAACCATTCTCATCAATCACAATAAATGAGAACAGTAATCAAAATGTATATTATTATATGTATGCACACATTTGCTTCTGGAAAGAAATCCGGCTTCAGTTTTTCGATCATAAAAGTCTTAATTTTTATTTGTCACAATGTTTATCAGTTTTCATAATTTTTTTTTTTCAGGCAATTGATAAAGACAAGTCAGGAGAAATAACAGTAGAAGAATTCAAATTATTCTTTGATGTCCTGGGACTGCAAGAACAAGACGCCATTTTAGCATTCCGAGCAATCGATTCTAATGGAGATGGAAAAATAACAAAGAAAGAATTTGTCAAGCATGGTAGAGACTTTTTTCTAACCGAAGATGAAGATAGGATAAGCAAGTACTTCTGGGGACCTTTAGTAGATCACTAAAATAATTCTTCATTGATTGACTCACTATCTTTTATACCAGTTATATTGGTATATATTTTGTACCCGTATGTAAGTGGTAACTACATGATTTAATGTAATGTACATTTCATGGAACACACTAAGTAAGCTTTTTGTGAAATTTTATACAATTTTTGACAGCTCACAAAACAAGTAGGTAATATTCTTATAGAATTAAGTACTTTTATGTATTTTCTGTTTAGAGTATTTTTTTACTCAAATGATAATGAAATGTTAATATAAAAAAGCAAAGCATAATGAAGAACAACACAAAGTTAAAAATTACCTTGAAATAAGAAAGGATAAAATCTCATTTATTTTACATCCAGTTTTCTTAAAGTGGATATTTTATCACAAATATAATTTTAGACAAGCTCCCTAAGTAGACAAAGATTTTCTTCAAATGTGGATATAAATGGTCAGGTTTGATTCACTTTCAGTTTTTCAATTTTTTTCATTTTCATTTGAATCATGCACTTTTTCATAGATCTATCTCAACTTGGCTAAGTTTTATGTATATACATATATCCGTATACAACTCCAATATTTTTTTACAGAATATACAGAATGATTATTGTGAAAGTAATATTTAAAACGACTTATATTGCTAAATAAATATTGCAAAGCAGAACTTTATATTTTTTTTCAGCACTGATAAAAAACATTTCATGAAAATGATATTTGAATCAATCATTTGTATACAATTATTTCAAAATGAAGAGTACAAGACAGATGAGACCAAATTTGGAATAAAACGGGTTATTCAACAGACATAATTCACTTTACTGGAATAGCAGCAATCCACAAATGATTAGAACAAGAAACTTTCAGGATACATAGAACTATAACGTCTATTGCGCATTACAAAATGGATATTTGATAATGGACCCTTTTCATAGCCTCTTCGTTTGTCAGATCTATTTTGGTCTAATTTTTTATTTGGAGAACGATAAAATATCAAGTTTTCAGTGCCCCTTCAATGACAAAAGTGAACACATAACACATAAACATTTTCTTTTGTGGTGCATTTAATGTCTAGAATTCGAAAAAAAGAATTTTTAACAGTTTGTTCGTTTGAATACTAAGCGACTAGTGCATCGCGGGTTCTTATCAAAACTTGGTCCAATTGTCCAAAAAGAATAATCATATTGAAATAATCTACAAGCATATAATTGAAAATTTTGTGTATACTTTAACAAATCTGAATAGTTATCAAACATTCCAAAGCTCATACGATTTTTTCCAACGCTAACTTGAATGTAATTGAGTGAATTTCTCCTATGTTACAATTTCAACAGCCAAAATGTCATTCAGGTTCAGTCCAAGTTTTCAATTCTAAATAGACCTGTTTCTGCTGATTTGGACGGATTCCGCTTGTGATGATAAACTGAAACAATCATACGACATGGACAATGTTTGTACAACTTGTCATAAATCATTCAGATCCAAAATCGGCCTCCAAATTCATTATGGAAAAATTCACAAAACGTCAATAAAACAGGAAAAGATACATTATCATTGTTCAAAAGATTTGCTGATTTGAAGAACTCTACTAATATTGTGAGGAGCTAGAATTTGCATAGCATCCGTCTTATCTGAAGTCATTGATGAATGTGTAATGCAGAACTCCTTTTTCAGTTGGAAAAATCTACTTACTTTCACATTCAGAGTTCTTCCTATACAATATTCGAATAAGAAGAGAAAAATATCTCTAACAACATTGATAAAGAGGAACATCAAAACGATGAATAACGAATCATCTGTTATTCCGCCAGCAATTGCCAAACGATTTAAAGGAAATATCTCAAAAATTATTTTAAATAAGGTTGAGGAGGGTGATATTTCATCTGCTGTTAGGATTCTTAGTTCTAACAATTCTCTCGCTGATTATGACAATGATCTTCTATCGAAGCTCATTCTTAAACATCCTCATGCCGACTCAATATAAAATGCATCTGAACCTTCACTTGATCAAACAAGCAATTCAACGTTTCAAGTTCCTGAACAACTTATACTTGCAACAGTGAAAGTGTTCCGCACTGGATCAGCTGGAGGACTGGATGGATTTCGCTCAAGTTACATACAAAACCTTCTTAGTTATAGTGCTGGTAATTCTAGAGATAAACTGTTTACCTCTGTGACAAATCTTTGTAATCTCTCATTACCTGGGGGAGTTAATCTAGAGATTTGTCCAATGCTTTACGGTGCATCTCTCTGTGCTCTCAAAAAGAAAGACGGAGGAATACGTTCCATGGCCACCGGTACTTTCTTTAGCCGGTAAGTGGCCAAACTAGGTTGTTCTCGGATTGAAGAAGACCTTAGGTCCATCTTACGTTCCATACAATTTGGTCTCGGTACTCCTGGAGGATACGAAGTGGTCGCCCATGCAGTACGCCGATATATCCATCAACATCCAAATTCGTTATCAAAAAATGTCCTCAAGTTGGATTTTAAAAACGCATTCAACATGATTGTCAGAAATTTGATGTTACAACGGTCACAAGAGTCTTTGCCAGGCCCATACCCTTTTATAGATCAATGCTACGGATTTCCAAGTTTTTTTTAATTTTGGTGAACGTTTGATTGAATCTCAGAGAGGTGTCCAACAAGGCGATTCTTTAGAACCTGCACTTTTCTGCCTGACCATTTAAGAGCTAACTAGAAAACTGAATTCAAAATTCATCTGTTGGTATCTGGATGACGGATGCATTGGAGATGATATTGACATTATATTGAAGGATTTGGAGATAATTTTTAACAGTTCAAAACAAATCGGTCTCGAAGTTAACTTCGATGAATGTGAAATAATTTCCAATTCAAGTCTTGAATCAGAATTTCTTGCCGACATTATGGAAGTTGTTCCTGGTATAACTCATGGAAAAATCGAAATGGGAACTACTTGACACCCCTCTCACTATGGAAGCTCTATGTGAAAGTTTGCAGAGCAAAATAGATTCCCTTGAACTAATTTCTACCCGTTCATACGATTTGCCAATGCATACTTCCTTTTTTTTTATTTAAAACTAAACTACTCTATACTCTAAGATGCTCTCCTTGTGGGGAAAGTCAAGTATACCTTAAGAAGTTTGGTGATCATCTACGTAACATGACTGAAAATGTTACCAACAGCTGTTTCACTGACATTTCTAGGTCTCAAGCAACATTGCCTTTGAATCGTGGAGGGTTGGGTCTGCGCTCAGCATCATCACTGGCTTTACCAGCCTTTGTCTTCCATCAATAATGTTTCGCAATTGATAGAAATGATACTTCCAGTCTCCTTTAACAATATAAAAGATAATTTAGCCGTCAAAGGCGGATCTATTTGGTGTTCTCAAAGCAAAAGTCATGTGCCTTCGGATCTCAAATCACTTCAGAAAGCATCGGACAAACCTTTACTAGAAATTGTCAATATTAAAGAATCTGGTGCTTGATTGAACGCATTCCCTGTTGCTACTCTGGGAACACTATTAGATAATAATACTTTCAGGGTAGCCATTGGACTCAGATTGGGTTTAGATATTTGTACTCCTCATACATGAAAAAGTACTCATGGTTTGAGCTGCAGAAAAAGTTCTGGGCGTTTTCCAAGACACCTCCAAGTCAACGACATTATAAAAAAGGCCTTGATATCAGCCGGGATACCTTCTAACCTAGAACAACTTGGTACTAGCTGTGATGATGACAAACGTCCGGATGAAATGACCCTTGTTCCCTGGAAATGTGGCAAAGCTGTGGTTTTGGATTTCACATGTGCGGACACAAATGGCTCTATCTCATTTAGTTGGAACATCCAAAAATGCAGGTACTGCTACCATAACCAGTGAGAAAGCAAAACGGCAGAAATGTTGGAAATAACTTTATATTTAATCTTGTGGCTGTAGAAACTTTCGGTGTATTTGGGCTCTTATCTCTGAATTTTGTTAATGAAATGAAAAAAAAATTACTGAAGAAACTAAAGAAAAAAAATGTACCACCTTTCTGGCCAAAAAAATTAGTTTAGTTGTACATCGTGGCGATTTAGCTTCTGTTTTTGGCATCATCCCATCGTCACATTCAATGGATGAAAGTTTTCTTCATCCCGTTGTTTCCAAATCATATTTATACCCCAGTCGCGATGGGAGAATGTTTCCTTATAAAACGTCCCATATTCCTTGTGATACTTCCCATAAGTTACGATCAGAAGATACAGAGAAATATGAACAAGTTCTAGAACTATCTTCTTCTTTCAAATTCAAAACGTCTGCCATACCCAATTCACTTTTAGGCAGTTCAGCTTGGAATTCCTTATCCTACCGATCCAATGAAGGGGTGAATCATCGAATCTGTGATTACTCAGAAGAAGACAGCAGTGGCGAACGTAGTATCAACAGTTACAACATTAGATCAGTGATACATTCTTCAGTCAGAACTCTTGGTTTTATTGGATTGAAAAATATTGGAAACAACTGTTTCATGAACAGTGTAATCCAAAGTTTTTCAAACACGAGATGATTGCTGGAATATTCAAAAAATGATACATACATGGAAGATAACAATACTAGTATTTATAGTATAAAAGGTGCTTTAATCAAAGCATTCACAGAAGTTATCAAGGAATTGTGGTCAGAAGTTTCATCTGATAAAATAATAAACAGTGCCTATTTTAAAAGTCAGATTCAAAGATTTGCCCCTCGATTCATGGGATCTGCTAATCGCCCAGGAATTCCTTTGATATCTTTTAGAAGGTTTACATGAGGACGTCAATGGAATTACTGAGAAACCTAAACCGATCTTGAAGGAGATTGACGAAAAATTGAGCGACAGCGGGAACGCGCAATAGTCCTGACTGGGATATTTGAACATGAACAACTCTAAGATAGTAGACAATTTCGTTGGTCAATTAAAATCCACTATGAAGTACACACACTGTGGATACTCATCGTGGATACTTCGATCCTTTCTGGGATTTGTCTCTCCCTATACCACAAAGAACTGGCCAATTGAGTCTATCACAATGCTTGGATTTCTTCACAAGAGGGAAAACTCTGGTTGGAGATGAAAAACCAACTTGTTCGAGGTGCAAGGAAAGAAGAAAATGCACAAAGTCCCTATCAATCCATAAGTTTCCCCGTATTTTAGTAATTCATTTAAAAATATTCTCTCCAAGATTCAGAGGCAAATTGAATGTTGCCTTTGACTTGTGAGTGAGGAGGAATATGTCCTTTTTTATGAACAGGAGGGAACCAAGCAGCACTTTTGAGGCGTTTTTTTCTTTTCTTTTTTTTATGAGCTGAATTATGTTAATTGATTTGTATTTCATAATTTTTTTTCATAATTTTAATACAATTTGTGCTTCAGACAGTTGTAGACTGTATCTGTTTATTCAAACTAGACTTTCCTTTCTTTTAATTTCTCCTTGCCCTAGAATTAAAATATTTAATCATTTATTTCTATGAAAGTTATAGACACTTCAAATGTTGATTGTGATGAAATGATAAATGGATATAATTACAATTGAAAAATCACTTTTGGCTAATTTAGAATATGAGTATTTAATAGTTTTAGTGGAAAAATAACTGATTTGGACTGTTAATCATTTAGTATGAAACTTTTCTTAGAAGTCCCATGACAAAGACAAAAATAAAAATTTTCAAATGCAATTTTTATTGAATATTCAAATATATTATGTAGCCTCTAAAATCTAGTATTAGTCAACATTTCTAAACGTTTATAACCCACCAACAATTAAAAAAAAAAAATATCAATAGAGAATCTCTAAAGGTAAATCGAAAAATTCGGCATAAAAAGTAATTAGGTCATACGAGTTCTTTCCTGAAGAAAATTTCTGATCATTGGGATATGAGTTTACAGTTATTAATATTTTCATTCACAATATAAAAGAAAAATGAGAAAAGAATCAATTTTTGGAAACATCCATTTCTTATAAAGCGCTAGGTTAGAAGATTATTCTTTTATAATATTCATAAATATGACAATTGTATAATTCCTAATTGATCTTGATATTTGATTATGGAGAATTATAAACCCAAGAGAGGTTGAGAAAAACGTGTAGGTATGTAACTTGTTACATATTTTTTTTCCCTACTATAATTGCTATTTTTCAGCTAATCTCATTTCTAATTTTTACAGATTCTTTCAGGTATTTAAAATCAATGTATATCATATTAGACAATGGAAGTTTGAAGTAATGAAATGCACCAAGAAACATTGTCAACTACCTTGAAACATTTTATCACTGTTCTCAATTATATAATTTAATAACGATTATGGCTTAACCTGACTGGAAGGCAGTATGGATTTGCTTCTCTGTAATCTTGTTTGAAAAAAACAAGGTTAAAAGGGAGAAAACATTTTTGTTCAATCCTCATAGTCTCCTTAGTGGAACCTCTGTTAGGTTTCACAGATTCTTCCACTTAGCCTACTCATAGTATATTCCAGAATATCACTAAAATGTTTATAGGAGTCAGTACTTCACAAAATATGGAGCATTTCTCAGCTGAGTTGGAATAAAAACATTCAAAGTATATGATGTACACATCGACTTCTTTATTGAATACAACAGAAAATCATAAAAACATACAAAAATTATAAAAAACACTGGATTATTTCAAATTGAGTGACGACTTGAACTCCTTGACTTGCTGAACCATGTCTGTGATTTTTGTTCCCCTGAAATTGAAGAAAATAAAAGTTGAAATAATAACAAACAAAAATATTTTTGAGGTGGTTGTTAATTTTTTTTCAGGTTGGAAGATGATTGAACATTTGATTCGTTTTAGCTATGAAATTAAAAATATATATTCATCAACAAAAATCTTCCAGACAGAATATCTAATATGTACCCCATATTCTAGGGATATTATCTTGTCTCCTTGCATCATCATCACAGCAGCTTATCTCCATCTGGTTCCAACTTTATTGAGAATAAGAATAAAAATTGCACCAAATCAATGTAAATTAGTAGACTGTAATGTTATAATAATAATAATATAATCTCTTCATGGTTAATAATGATTTGCCCTAATGGATTTGTTACAGCTTGGAAAATAAGAAATAAATGAATATAACTGTTCTGTGGATTTATTGATTGTAACTAAAAGTAGTATCTAAATAATATTAATATTGGATTACCAAACACTTCATATAAAAATGATACCACAGTATAAAAAAGTTACTGTGAATACATACGTTTCTTGAAGATTGGTTCTTATAGTATTGGTATGAGTCTCATTGATTGCTGCAACTTTTTTAACTTCTTGAGCTTTCCAGTTCTCTATCTGCAAAAGTAATGAACTATAAATAAAAGTAATTTGAAATAAATATGTAAGGTATACCTGGATCTCCTGATACTTCATTTTGTTCTTGATCTTATCAATTTTGTTTCTATAGACTAAGATCTTCTCATTGACTTCCTGTAATTCATTAAGAAAATCTCTTTCTGAATCTGATGGCTCACTTCTTTTTCTTGAAACTAACATCAGTAAATTTTCGCACCTAGAATAATATGTTGATATAAAAAGTTACCTATCTAGAGTTGAATACTGAATTGAAAAAATTAACTAGTTATTGTGGATTTCAATTTTTCCAATGACACTTTAATAACTGAATATTCCAACATAAACTTCCTAGGAAAATATGTAGATGAACAAAAACAAAAGAAAGAGAAAGTTAGAAATCATTACTTTCCTCTACAGATAGTGAATTACCTTTACTTTCGACTTGAAAATTTCACCACCCATTTATAGAAAAATTATACAACATGAATGTTATAAAGTTGGATCTTGAAGTATTTTGGACAGTATGTTTAATATCATAATTTTATCACCATTTTATGTGTAATAATATAAACAATCAGAAATATATTCGTAACACTGAACTTCATGGCTTCACATTCAACTTTGATAATCGTCAAGATGAAATTTATCATAACATCTCTTCTATCTTATATAGGAATTGTCAAATCCCCTCAGAAAAAAACGTAGGCGCCTCAGGACGCCCGACAGAAGTGATAACTTAAACTAATCTGAGTTGAACTATTTAATATTGAAATTGTTTAACTTGAGAAAGCTTAGGTTATTATTTAATTTTATTATTGATAGATAGATAGATCTTTATTTAAATAGGATATCCTAATAATATACAAATCAACTAGAATGGTAGAAATAAAAAAGGTATGTGTTACATATAGAAATGACTTATATGTATGACAAACATAAGTTCAATAAAATATTTTTGAAGACATTACTACAAAAACAGCAACATTATACATTCGAAAAATTTCAATGCATGCAAACGTCTGTCCGACGAGAGAGGAGGAGCCTGCCTTTCGCTGACATATGCGTGAGAGAAAGGGAAGCCAGACAAACTGGCACCGTTGCGCATTAGGTAACGAAGCGGTTTACCCTCCCATAAGAAGTTATCACTTCAAAATGTAACTGTGAATAATAGTATGATGGATACAGAATTATTTCTTTTCATTACCATTCACTTCTTCAGTTTCAGTAATATATAATTGGAACCACTAACGCGAAATGACTATGAACTAGTTCGACTAGTGTTATCTGAAAAAATAAGGTTTATTAGAAAAGTGATTGCGCTAATGGCAACTTCCATATAATTTACAATTTAAGATAAAAATCACTTTTCATGCTTTCAAATAAGCAGGTAATAACTTTGACCAGACCAGAAAAATGATCTACAAAAATATACAATAAAGTCAATGCATACATAATTCACTCGAAACTTGTGAAACAAAAGCAGTACTTACCTTTTCAGCAGTTCATCTTGCTTATCTTTAATATCTTCATATTTTTCCGCCAAATTACTGGCCTTCTCCTGTAAAATTTCCCGTTCTTCATTCATTATTTCAATTTCCTTAAGTTGATTCCTCTTCATTAAGGAAAGAGTATGTACCCTTTTCTCGAGTTCTTCTCTTGCTTTGATATGATTCTTGAAATATTCTTCTCTGAAAACTTGAGCAGCCCGCTGAAGGAGCTTTCAGAACATAAATCAATATAAGTAGAGAAAATTAAGTACATCAAGTAATAAAATTATGAAAAAAGTGTCAAATGAAAATTTTTCGAAGTTACTTCAGAGTATTGGTGAGCTAGTAGGTTCAGTTAGTACCCTGCAACACATTTGTGTTGCTCAAAACAAAGTTAGTGGCAGACTGACCGCCAATCAGGCGGTCAGGCATTAGAATGTGAAAAATGTACCATAGTCTGTCAACTTTGTAATGGATTACTCCTCCCAATAAAATTCAGGTATTGGTAGAAGAGCACATAGTCTTTGCCTGTCCTACCGCCAACCAGATTAGGTTTTCAGTGTTTGGGAGACTCCTGCTCTTGCTAACTGACCTGAGAGAACACTCATCAAATAAAGTAATCAGCATCATTAGGAAGTTGGATTCATTTGATCGAGTTTGAATAGATATGAGCCGCAATAAACCCTCGCAGATTGCAGTGGAGGGTTGAATAGCCTTTGAACCATCTTCCTACAGTTTCTATTCCTCATTTTCCCTTAATATACAGATTAACATCGAACAGATCAGTAAGAAAAGTCGAAACCCAAAAATTGTTGGTATCATCAAAGTTATTCTTGACGTTTCTTTCATTTGAGTGATTTTAGTTAATTCTGATGCCAGATGGACACCAAAAAAAGACTATGATGTCGGCTGAAAATTCATTCTGAATTCTTACAGCCTTGATAATAGGCATAAGATTTCATTTTGTATAAACTTCAAATGTAATAATTCCCTTAAAGGACAATCTGAGTAAATGAAAACAATTACCAAAACATTAATTTGAAAACTTAGAGACATTGAAACTATTTTTATATTAATAAGTTAAACTATTTTTATATTACTAAAGAAAACTATATGAATATAATGCCAGAAAAGGCTCTCACAGGATTATTATTCGTTTGATTGTAGTAATAGTACGAAATGTCATGTTGCCGAAATTACCTCATAACACTGTTCTTGGGTATGTTCACCTGAAGAAGGTAGCTTAAGTACTGGTTGAGTAGGAGTTTTCTTCAGAATCTTTTGAATGTATGCATCGAATGGCTCCTGTAACATCTGGAATGGAATAAAAATAATAAAGACTTTATAAAGTAACGACAAATAATATATGTATAAATTCTATATAACTGATACTACTTTACTATTGATATATTTGAGATGCTTCTGATTTTTTCCAATATTCAAGTTGCCCTTTTTGTCTTGACAAACTAATCCCCCAGAGTAACAATCATCTATCTTCATTAACTTTTATCCAAGTATCAACCATCGTCTCCGAGTAATTTAGTTATACAACTATTTCCTATTTCGAATAGTACAAATACGGAGAGATGTCATCGCCTTTTTCTATTCAGAAACGCCTCAATGCATTCGTGGTTCAGCCTAACACCACTGATAAGCCCTATGGCATGTCAAAACAGTGCTATCTGGTGTTGGAACATGAATGCTTTGTTTATATTGAAAGGATTATATTTTTAGAAGTGATTAATTTTTAGAAAAAAAAGTTTTTGGCTTTCTACTACTCCATACAAAAAAAAGTGGGAATCTTCCAAGGAAGGAAGAAAGCAATCAATTTTGAAAGTAGTAACTCTATACATAGATGTGTAGATCATCCAAAGAAGTAACTTTCAGAAACAAACTGGAAGAAAAAGCCCTCCTGAAACAGCTACTTTCATATAAACATTGAATTACACGAAAAAAAAAATCCTTTCAATGTAAATAAGATTCCTTCTGGCTGGGATTTAATCAAATAAGTGAATGAATATCATTACGATGTCATCGATGACAAAAGTAGATCAAACTTATTCCGTGACATGAAAAATCGTAATTTATGAATGGATTGTGTGGTTACTTCTTATATAATATTATTCAGATTGGTACTGAAGAATCCTAAGGCAAGTGTCTTATGGCGAAACATCAATGTTTACCAGTGAGGATGACAGTGTTCCATGTAAGTGAAATTTTACCATTCATTTAGTATATTGTGTAGAAATCCTGTGAATGATATCTGATATAATTCCATAACGAATGTTTGGAATACAAACTGAGTAGAGAAAAGTGTTTTTTTGTATAATTCAGTGTTCATATGAAAGTATATGTTTCCAAAGAATTTTTTTTTCGTCTGAGGTTCAGACCATATCAAGTAGATAGATTGAAAATTATGTACGCAATTGTCAACGTGCCTGAAAGAATCACTTGTTAACGTTGACGGAATTATTATATCAAGGTATTTGGCTATTGTTGCCCTCGTATCAAGTAACTCATCATGTAAAATGAAAATTTTATATTATTCAGTTTCACATCAAATACGAATATGACAGTAGTGATTTCGAGAAAATTGTAAATACAAATAACAATGATACTACTTGATACTCACGATGATCAAAATGCTTTCCTGGTCTGAATATATTATAAGGTAAGTGATCACTTGGTCCGAAAATCATGTGCCCTAAGCACACTTTTTTTTGTGGTTATCATTCTGAAGGTCATCATGATCATAAAAATGGAATCTCAGCAATGGGTCTCGTGTAACATACTGGAATATATTCACCAAAATGCATGACTTACCTTTTTGAGAGGAGAGGCTTGCCTCGCACCATCACAATAATCATCCGTGTCACTAATTTTAGGCAGATCAGCAGCATATAGTACACCAAGTGTAACAAGACTTCCTTCAGCCAAAAGGGTAATGATGGCAGTAGGTTCATAGTAAAGGCCGAAACCTATTACTGGGTTCACTTTCTGAGAAGTAGCCGTTTTGGTGCAAACTGTATACTCAGCTTTGGTCGGGCGTACGAAGATATCAGAGGTGGGATCCAACTCTATATTGAAATACATAGTATTATAAAGTCAAGTAGAAAATCGTAACCTTATATATGTTATGACTGATAATGAAGTTTGTAGGAATGCATTTTATGATCTAATCCAATAAAAAATATTTTAAATTTGAGATAGTGATTGGAAAAACTGTATAAGAATATGTGTAGTATTTTTGAATCATTCATAAATTCAACATATAAGTTATTTCTTTCCTTTTCTAAAAATACAAGAATTTTTAAGAATTGTCATTCAACTTATAGGACAGATACAAAAGGTCACTAACTGAATACAAGAAAGCCTGGAAGAAATCTAATAGAGACTCACGGAGAAGGCAATGCGATGAGGTCGTTCAGTATTCACCAGCATCTATGACATAAATAATCTAAAAACAAATACCATGGATCACATAAAAACAAGAAAAGAGACTGTATATTAAAAAGATTATCTTGGTCATAAATCTAACACACAAGCCCTGGACAATTTCAAAAGGAGGCCTCCAGTGAAGAGTGAAAAAAAAAAGGTGGAGATAGAACTGATGCTGGACCCATTAACACATGTTGGCCTAGACTGCAATTTTGGAATATATGGAGAAACAAACACGAAAATGTTCTTAGATTACATTAAACCAAAATACATGTTCTATACAAATGCAGTTCAAGACTTTAATTGCGAGGAGTAGAGAAAGAACAGTTATTCCGAAAACATATCAGTGGAAACGACTCGTTCACAGATTGGTCAAAAACCGAACAAGGGACAGAAGGTGGTATTTACCGTGCAGGAGAAATTTCTTCATTTCAATTACCCAATTGGTCGGTATACATCAGTCTTTCAGGCTGAAGTGTATGAAATCTTGTGATACACAAAAAACAATAATTTGAGGCCTCAAGACACTTGGAAAATCGAGACTGGTCTGGGAATGCCGTGAAGAACTTAGAAAACTGAATGAATTGACTCTATACTGGGTGGCAGGACACTCAGGTATCAAAGGCAATGAAAAAGCTGATGAGTCTGCCAGAAATGCATCATCCAAAAACTATGGTACGCAACCAGATTGGAAAGTGGTTCTGTAAGATACATGAAGAGTACTGAGTAAACATACCTGGGATCACAAACGGAAAAACCTTTATAAAGAGACTATCCGAGAAGAGAACTGAATAACTGCTTCAACAAACCTGGGATCGGTTAAGAACAATTTCATATTCAATGTTCAGTGATATCATAACTGAACAGTTAACAAAACCGCAACACGTCCTTCATTAATGAGTTTAAAAGGTAATCTGTCATTGGCATCTAGTCTGTAAAAGTTTTAGATTGCTGGTAGAATCCACCCGCATTGGCCCATTTTGAAACATGTATATATAGCAGGAATGATCTATGTTATCTAACAGGTCTACTTACAGGTCACTGTCAATTGAGTCATTATATGAAAAGACTGGGACTGTCGGAAGACAGGAGCTGAAATACCTGAGCTACAATTAACCCTCGCCGATTGTAGTGGAAGGTCGAATATATCTGATCATTTTTGAACATAACCTATGTGTTTGACAGCTAGTTTGGTATAACAAAATATAAAATCTCATGAAATATGTGTATTGATAAATAGAAGCCGAAATGGAATGGACAATATCATGATTATTATCAATCCTGAACATTCGTATTTTTTAGTATTGTAGGAGTGCCGAAGATGATTATCACAGGTAGGCATGAGTGTACATAGTGATGGGCAGCTCTTCAAAAATTGAACTTGGTGTATTTATCACGACCTGAGTCAATATTTTGGGACAGCTACCCAATTTCTACAGAAAACGGAAAAGAAGTAGTTACAAAAACTGTGGTTTCTAGTCAATATTCTTGGTATATCCTTGCCAGTGTCAGTATATTGAGACCACATCAGTAAAATTTTTTGGTTTTCAAATTCAGTCATCTTGATATGGGAAGGTGAAAGTTCAATGCTTTGATAAGTCGAGATCCTCAACTATTAAAGTGGTTGGCAATGTTTCATATATTTGTTGCTGAATGCTAGAGGTGAGAACTTGTATTGTCTACAAATATTGACAGATTTTGAACTCAGGACTACAGAAAACAATGGAAAGTTATATATCAGATATGAGAATGTTATATATCACATATGAGAAAGTTATACATCAGATATGATGAGATGATGAAATTGAACATCATTCAAAACATTTTTACTGCAGTATTCAAATGAAGTTAATTATTATTTCCTTTTACTAGTATATAACCAATTCAAATTCTACATTTATCTACGTGCAAGCTCTATGATCGAGATTAGGAAATAAAGTTAAATTCTATTTTCATTTGGAAAATTCAGAAATAATGTGTCTATTTTTTTACTAGTCTATTTTTTTGTGAAAACGAAAATCAAATGTTATTTCTTAAAAAATTGATACATATTTTTGAATTCTTGTTATCTTAATTTTTTGTTATTCTCACCTTGTATTGGGGACTATGACATTGTAAATAAAAAGAAGTCTACAGAAATGATTCTATAGAAACGATTCCAATAATACATTTTCAAATGTGAAGATTCAACTAACCTTCTGGCCCCTGCACAAAATTTTGCAAATCATCAATACAAGAAATGGACACTGAGTGAATTCCAGCAGCATGTGTAGCATAATATCTGTCGGTTTTAGACTCATCTTTGTGAAGGAATATCTGACACTTGTATTTAAGGCTGCTGTCATCTCCAGTAGTTACTAAACCCATCTCAAGTTCCACAGACTCAAAAGCTATGAGTTCCTTGTTGGGAATATTCGAAATGGATTTCGAATTTTGTTCAAGCTGAAATTAATAAAAATTGTATTTGATGATTACTAAACCAGCAGTATTATTGTACCTCTTCGTAAGTTTCTTCTTCTAGGTCCAATAATATAGAATGGCAGAGAATACCGTTCGACATGGCTATACAAATGATTTCAGGAACAGTGTTCAGACAAATTAACGAGCAAGCCTCACCCTGTTCACTTTCGAAAGAGGACATTGGTAAAGGACCTTTCAGCATTGGTTTCCATCTGCAAACAAATATCAGTTAGGGTTTCAACAGTATAATAATAGATTGAATTAGGCACGATGCAGATGAACAAAATGAAATAAATTTAGAAAACAAATAAGTGTGCTCAGTAGCTCATAAGCTAACCTGAAACATTCTGAACATAGATGACGCACCTACGACCTTGAAACTATAAAAAAATTGATATCTTCTGCATTCTTCTACCTCTTGTATCAGGCATAATGAGCACTTCATTATTACATAACTATGAATACAATTGTATTTTTTCAAGCATGACGTTTGCCTCAATGCTATTTCTTTAAAAACAAACATCTTTTTGGTTTTCACACTAAAAGAAACATCAACAATACTTTGGCGTTTCATGTTCTGAACTTGCACTTTAATTTCATTTTTATCCTTATTATGAGAAATTTCCTACAATAGAAATCAGTAGGATCATTTCACTTTTAATTGAAGTCCAAAAAATTCTCAATAGAATAAAAACTTAACTTCAATATGAAAAGATGTAAACTTTCACGACTAGAGATAACTCTGTTTGTTGGCCCTGGCTGTCCTCTCAGAATATACTGAGAGAACAACGTTACCTCATCGTCTTGGGTAATATTCACCGCAGTAGTGGACGAAACTTCAAATTAAAAAATCTGCAGACCACGGCCAACAATATCTGAAAATAGTTTTGACACAATATGAAAGTAGTAGAAGACTATTGACACGCGTTTCTCTAAGCAAGTCTAAGCAATTCTCTAAGCTTTAGTCATCTCCTGACAATGCTAACTTGGTTAGCTAAACGCACGTCGAGAGTCAGTTTTATTTTGGTGTGGGAAAAGTATTTCGAATAGAACTGTTGCTGAAAAAAAAGTAATAAAAACACGATAATGATAACTTGGGGTATCTCCCTTCTTCTACCACCAATAAGTGAAATTTAATAATGTCCCAGGACAATGTTACAAGTTTGGTCTCATATTCTCCATTATAGAAGATAATATAATACAAAAAAAACTAGTCACATTATCGTTTTGAAGACTTTGAGGAAAATATGTTTCTTTAATTTTGATAAATATGAAAGTTGTCTATAGAAAACTAGTGAGAATGAAAGTGTGGTGGGACGGTAGCCGGTTGGGTTGACGTGGGTGGTTTGCTCCACTCACTCAATCGACCGCTGTGTGGACCGCTGGCTAACGAAATAACAGACAGACATATTTTAGGTTCCTATCGAGTTTCAGGTTGACCACTACTTTAATGAGTATCAACTAGCAGAAGAGGGATTGGGTTAAATATTTTTCTGAAATTTATATTCAAATGCCAAGAAAACACAGAATATCCACTGAACATCCATCCCAATATGGTCCCATAATGGTCCCAATGGACATGGATAATAAAAGGACGTTCAATGAATATCCTCGAAAAGTCTGTTATTCGAGTAAAGTGGAATTTTCCACTAGGAAATAAAAATTCTTTGCCTCAGGCTCGAATTTTTTACGTTATCTCATCAATTTCTATCTCGTTATTATTATTGAAATTTTATCATCCTCATCGACCCTGCTGACATCTTCTAATAAGGCAACGGCATGAGTGCAGTAATAATCTGAAAATAACAAATGATCACAGCTGGCTGTTAGCAGCTAGTGACATTTTTTTAATGTGAAAGGTGCCACAATGAATAATAGTTTTGAAAATTGATGGTAAATGTAACTTTGAAGGTTGCTGCCGAAAGTCCCAACTTTAAAATTTACATGTACTTATTGGTTATTTAGTTCAAAAGTAGTCGATTTAATTCATTTGCCAACCCTTCATAATAATAAGTTCCCGAACATGGTGATTCTTAGTAGTAAAATTAAAGGGACAAATATGATCCTCATGAACTGTTAATTTGAAAAAAAAATTACAATGTGGTCAGAAATCACTTGACAATTAGTGCAGTGGGCTGGGGTTCATGTTTCATGAAGAGTACTGAATAATTTACCATATCATGAAACTTTTGCAACCAGAAGTTGATATATTTCATCTAATAATCAATATGATTTCATGATTTGTTCGTTTTACAAGTTTTACTTTCCAAAAGTTCTATAGTAGGTACATACCATTCGTAAACTGTAATCTGATCGGTTAAAGACATTGGAAAGAATGTAAAATATTTGGAGTGTTTTTTTATTATTTTCAGATCAAGGAAAAAAAATTTAAATCCAATATTTTGTTTTGCTATTGTTGTACACTTTGTTTGAAGTCTGATACAGAGGACAAGTTGTTACACAGTGAGTTTCTATTATTAGCCTCACAGAGACTTCTATTATATAATTTTAAATTAATAACTTTGTATTGTATATTTTTCCAGATGTTCATAATAACTTCCAAAATTCTACCAAATCAAACTAAGGAAAGAAATAGCCACTGAGCAAACAACAAAAAAGTGAATGAGATTATGTTATCAATACATTAGATTATTTCTCAGTTTTGTTGGAAAAAGAATTGTTCTCTATATCGGGATTAGTTTTTGAATCTATTTTCAACAACTATGAGCATATAATTTATATATTTATTGTCTATCCATTCCCAATTGGAACGGCAATAAAAATAAGAATACAGTCATAAACATTTCTTGTCTGTGGCCTCTAGTCGCCCAGATAGTTAGTAAACGTGCTATCAAATGTAGTTGAGAAGTAAAGGCTCGGCTAGCTGGACTGGCCGAATACTAATTTTTTGTCGTTTCACAATATTTCTTTATCAGTGCCGTGTGTTCGCGGGGTTAGGTGAGGTAGTGAGTGGTTTTGCAAACCGATTTTTGAAAACTTTTTCTAGAGATCAATTACCCTAACACCAAACTGACATTTTTGCACTTGACGCGCGTTTCGCTAACAAGGTTAGCATCTTCAGGAGAAGCAAATTGATACTGAATCTAAAGACAAGGGTTAGCTGTTTATATACCTAAAGTTTTTTGGTCCGATGTGGACCTTGTTTGTTAAATGATGATTACCTAATTGATTTTTCGGTAATTAACAAGTGGAACCACTACCTGCAAATTAATTTGTCCGCTTTTTAATCTATTGCTGTTAGCGAAACGCGCGTCGAGTGCAAAAATATCAGTTCCGGAATTTGAAAATAAGGACTTATATGTTCAAGTTCAGCGAGTAATTTTAAATATTCATGAATGCTTGAAGAAGAAAAACTGTAACACTTCACAGAATGCTATTGTGAATAGAATACGCGAGTTAACGAAACTATCTCGTTCGACAGTTCTTCGAGTCATTTAAATAGGGGATGTCATTGACCATGCAATGAAACGAGAACAAAGGAATGAAAAATTCGCAAACGTTGATGGTGCTATAAAAGATGTGATTCGGGGAACAATTTATGGTATATACCAACCTTGGAAATGATTTGGTGCTTTATTTGAAACCTGGTTCTCACGCTTCTTCCAAATATTCCTCCACTCGGGTATTGTTACGGTATCATTCTCAGTTATTGACTACAATACCAAACAATAACACAAAAAAGCAGATATTGTTGATTTCATGCGAAATCATGACATGGCGACCATAAAACAACGTAATTTCAAAAAAGAGTATATAATTGACTCGATGTGTGAAACACGTGGTCATATTCTCTTACGTTTGCCTCCATACTATTGTGTGTTCAATCCAATTGAAATGTTTTGGGCGACAATGAAAGAAAGCTTGCGGAAATGTAATCAGTCACCGACTGTGAATGCTGTAGTGCTTGACAATATAAGGCGAGTGGTGAATGAAGTAGGTAATAGTGATGTGTGGAAGAACTGTGTGGCCCATAAATCCGATCGTTATTCAACCCGATGATGATTCTACCTCATCCGAATATAGCGATGAAGAATTTTGATTTTTCTAGCAATTTTTTTGGCTTCTATTATTTTGTAAATATATGTTTGACGACAATTCGGTGTGATTATTTGTGTTTTCATTGTATTTTAGAGTTTTCGACTCGGAAATCAACTACCTTAAATTTCGAAGTTTTTCATAATTACCCATGGTGGAAAAATTCAGTTGAGATAACTTTTTCATGGGGTGATCGATTGCTATGATTGTAAGAATAAGTAACTGAAAAACTACCACTGAAAAATAATAATATGCCGACGCCTATGTCCTTCTCTGTGCTGTTCCAATTGGTGTTGGAAATACTATACCTTTTATGTGGTAGCCTCTATATGCAAAATACTGAGCCATAAATACAATTGAATTGGATACTTTCTTACAATGCTCATTTTAGAATATTTGTCAAATTCTTATAAAAATCAATACAATTGTCGTTTTAAGTATTCAATATAGATGAACTTTGTCTTTTACACTAATAATTTGGACGAATCGTCCAAAAGTTATCACGATAGATTAACTTGACGCAACGCAGTGAGTCATTACGTATGGTGTCTACTGTAAGACGACGGGGGACGATGCGCGATGAAGCGCCTTCGCCGAGAACGCGGGAACACGTCGTTGAAGGTTGTGTTAGTTTCTTTTTAGGTAACATAATTCGATTTTCGAAGCTATTCATCACTTAGTGCAGTTGACATATTTTTTTAGTTACTGTATTTTTAAAGTAAAAATATAAATTACTAGCTGTTGCTCGCGGCTTCGCCCGCGTATAATTTAGTTTGTCACATACTATTCGTGACAGACCATTTTAAACAAGTAGAGACAATATTTTTTTATTAACCCAAAACTTCAGGTTCCAACTTCAAAACTGACGAAATTCAATATAATCTTTGAACCCCTATTTTTCTCCCTTGAATGTGGAAATTCTTGATTCCCTTTTTCGATGCTTATTTACGCCATACAAAGAACCTACCTACATATCTCAAGATTCTAGGTCCAGTAGCTTCGGCTGTAAGTTACTTCAAGAGTGTCAGTCAATCAATAGGTACCCACTAATACAATACTAGCTTTTCCCCGCTGGTTACCGTGAGAACCTACCCTATGTGTTACTCCAGGTCATGATCTATCTATATATAAAGAAGAAAGTAATACATATCATGAAATTATGAAACAACAAAAATTAATTGGCGCTCCGGGGCGACCTCACTGATTCCAGTGGCGCATTTGCTTTTTCAGCTGCTACATACCAACTTACATTTGAATCCGTTGAGCTGTTCAGGCGTGAAAAAGTAAAAAACGTAAATATATACATTACATTCATCCATCCTCACAAACTACGCATTTATAATATTAGTAATGTATGTATTTCAATGTATTTCATTCTAATCCTTCCAGTTTTTTTGCTGTTGCTATTCAATATTGTATAAGTGGGTACCTATTGATATTCTGACACTCTTATATTAACGTACAGCCGAAGCTACTGAACCTATCTTAAAATATGCAGGTGGGTTCTTTGTATAGCGTAAATAATCATCAAGGAAGAAAATCAGGAATTTCCACTCCCTAGGGTAAAAAATAGGCGTTTAAAAATTGTATTGAATTTCGTCAGTTTTGAAGTTGGAAACCTGAAGTTTTGGTTTAATACAAAAATATTGTAATTATTTGTTTAAAATGGTCTGTCACGAAACTTGATGTGACAAACTAGTCTGCGCTAGTAATTTATATTTTTACTTTAAAAATACAGTAACTAAAAAAATATGCCAACTGCACCAAGTAATGAAAAGCTTCAAGAATTGAATAAAGAAATTTCGCAAAACTAACACAACCGTCAACGACGTCTGCCACCACGCGTCTGCCCGCGTTCTTGGCGATGGCGATGGTCTGTCACGAAACTTTATGTGACAAAACAAATTCTACGCGGGCGAAGCCGCGGGCAATAACTTGTAGGCTACATAACAGACGTTCATCGGCTTTCATTGGACGACCAATGGATATCCGTAAAGTTAATTTCAGATATCCACTGAACATCCAATGTAGGCCATATTTTTCACACAGCCTGAACTGTGCTAAAAACTTTCAGACAGGTTTATGAAATCAGGCGTTGTTTATCGGTGTTTTAGGAAAAACTTTCGAGACATTACGATTTTTAAATTTTCAAGATTCTAAAGACTCCCAAGTCAAATTTTGTCGCAAACCTGAGATTCTCACTGACTTTGATAGTCACTATTGGAAGAAACTTTACCTACCTCTTTTTCAAGTCTATATTCAATGAAAAAACAGACATATTTCCTGTGAGGATATATACCGGCCAAATGAGGTTATGCCATTCCTTTCCATTTTGTTCCTTCTCTACATGGGATTTTGGTACTATTTTGTTGCCAGTTTGTGTTTGAACATTAATCATAAAGGTTTCTGTAAAACAAAAAATTATTGAATTTACTTTGGGAAGATGCTGAGCAAACAATAATTACCGTCTTTATTTTTATTGAAACTCTTTATCAAAGATTTTTCGCGTGCCACATCAAAGTATTGGGGTGACTGAGAAACTTCTGGGAGACCGAAATCGAAGTCCACTGCAATCTCGCCATAAATATCGAGGAAAGTTGTCTTACTTCCAGGGAAGAGGCCCGTGGGTTTCTCTCCGACCGAATGTATGGATATGTTATGAGCCTCGTTATTTTCAATTTGATAAAGCCTGAAAAAAAGTAACTGTTGAATAACAAATTTGAACAAGTTGTATTTAAAATTGATTTTTCTTTGCCTAATGATCATCTCATTAGATGCGTACAATTGGAGATGGTTTAGTTTATATCAGTCAGGAAATCCTTCATACTGTCTTTGAAAATATTCAAGTTATTTTCAGGGTATGACACAATTGAGTCATTCTGAAATTTCTGAGGAAAATATAATAGAACTGAGCTATACTTGATGAAAATCCATTATATCGTTTTCAAAAAAAAATTAATGTGAGATTTTTACCTGATAACTGGAAATCTCACATTAAAGTGTTTTTTAATACGTCAAAATGTCTGGTATATAACTTATCACCAGGATTGAGTTGGTGGTGGTGGAAAGGAATTATTTTACGTCATCATCAATGATGATATTACCCAGAGTTCAATTTTTGCACCAACTCTGTTTTCGCTTTACATGGATGATCTCCTGAGTACGATATTCTGCACAATACATAAATTTTCACTTCAACAGAACTGATCGTCAAAAACTCTGCCATCAATTGCTCTTAATGATACCATATGAAAGTAATTGGGCTAATGAAAGAATACCTAGGAAAGGTCGAATAAAGGGATTGGATTCACCCTGTGGAATTCCTCGCACAATAGCCCAAATTTGATGTTCACCAGAAAAACCCGAGAATGCTGTAACTGCTAAGCGAATGAGTGGTGTTGCTATTATTACCGATGGCCCACTTACCTAATCGTTATTGTAAATTCAATAAGAAAACGTATTTTTTGGGGTGCAGGAGCTAGAACATTATGTAAGAGGAGTTCGTCTTTGGGTTTTTGAATGATATTGTTCGTTTTCCAAATAATTAACAATATATTTTGTATGTTGACCTTTTTTGGGTATTTTCACCTTCCACAATCTGAAAAATATGAAATATGTGGTAATAGTTATATTGGAGAAACTTCGAGACCATTGAAAGTGCGTGAGAATGAACATCGAGATTACATAAAAAATATACAATTGACAGGATCAAAATTGTCAGAACACATTTTAAAATCAGACGGAGAACATCGAGTTGAAAGGAACAAGACAAGAATGAATTCCAATGAGCCTCACTCTAAGAGACGTAAGCTAAAAGAATCAGCTTATATTCTCATATCTGGAGAGAATTGTATTTCGAACAGCTTCTTAAAAATAGACCGTACTTGGCTACCCATATTGGAAGAAAATTTGGATAGTGCC